GGATGGGAGCACAAAGGGGAAGTCTCAGCCACTAGGATGATGGGAAGGTGCCTTTAAGATGCAAATGAGTATTGTGAAGCTGCAGGAGGCTTTGTTATTTGACTGGGACCCCTTTTGTCTCCACTCCCCAGTTTGGGCAATGATGGGGGACTTGCTGGTCAATGGGAAGAGCCTGGGGGGCCCTCCAGATCGGGAGATCAGCAGAGGGGCTGCAATGGGATTCCAGATGAGGGCAGACCCCAGTTGCAGACAGTCCTGGCTATGCTGGAACCTAGCAGAGGCTTTGATGTTCTGAGAAAACATGTCCTAAAGAGGCCCCTGTGGAAAGGACCATGAGCCAGCAGGCCAGGGCTTCACCATGGAGACCCTTGCAGCCTAAGTGTAGTTCTGATTCTGGGTGCTGGGCCTGAGAAGCTGTACCAGAGTTACTGCTCTCTCTCGCCTACCCTGCTCCAGAGCACTACAGGGCCATTCAGAGACTGGAGGATGGGTATGGGGAGCCCCCCCCCCCCGCTGTGTTCCGTATCTTGGACAGCATCGCACTACCGGCCTAGGCCAGATTTAGATTTCTTTCTCATCCCCTTCTGCTCTTCTTTGTGTGCCTTGAGGCTTTCAGCTTCTGGTGCTGTAGTGCGCCCAGATCTGAGTTTGGAGGGCATCTGCTTAAATGTCCAGGAGTATTGTTTGACATGTGAGCTGGGCTTGCAGAGGAGAGCGGGAGAGACAATGATTAGAACAGATAGAGGAGAGTATAATTTGGAATCAAATTTTGTGGGTGACAGCAGCCAGCATAAACAAGTGATCTGGACATAACGTGTCATATCATATCGCTTGGTTCCAGAGGTGAGGCCCTTGGAAGGGCGCTCATTTATGCTGCTCCTGGGTTTCGGCACCAGATGAATGAAATAAGAGGACACCACTACTCCTAAAGTCTGGAGAAGATTTTTATTGTAGAGCTAAGGGAGAAAGCAGGCAGAGGGGAGAGTCCAGGCTGACCTTGAGAGGGAGGAGCAAGAGAGGCAGCCTGAGCTAAGAGACCAAGAGGCCTCTTTAGCAAAAAATGACAGGGGGTGGGGAGTGGAAGAGGAGCTCAGAAGCCCAGCCCTTGGGGTAAGAAGAGCTGGAGTCACAAGCACTGAGTGATGCTGGGGCAGCTGGCCAGTGTCCGCTTTGATATGTTAATGGACACCTCAGCCATTTGTCCAGTGTTTGAGACCTAACAAGGGACACATGGATAGTGATAGAAATAGAGGCAGTTTATTAAGAAAGAAAAGGGCACTCTTGAGGGTGGAGCAATGCCAGTGAACGGAGAAAAGCCACCTGGCACCAGACTTCTGGTCCTTTATGTTATTAACATAGCAGCTGCCCTCTGCACTGGTGTAGTGTGGCCTTTCCTTTGGCATGGCTAGGTGGGCGTCCCGGCTTTGCTCACTGACTTACACGTCAGTCTTGATGCCTCCTTCTCCATCCTCCTGCTGTGCCCCCACAGCCCCCCTCCCCTCCCCCGCCCCCGTAGTTTGTCACCCTCCTCAGGCTCTTGGGAAGACCAACTTAGGGAGCAGCTCTGCTGAACCCCGATGTAATTTCATTTCCTGTGTTCCATTCTCACTACAAGTTCCTGCTTCTTGTCTCTTGCTGTCCATGCTGACCGCCTTGGGTACCTGCTACCTACCCTGGGCCCTGCCACCTGCCCCGTGACCCTTAGTTTGGAATTGCTGTTTCCTGCATTCTGACTCAAAAAGAGTTGTGCAGGGGTGTGTTAACAAAGACCCATCCCTAGGCCTCATCCTAGATGTCCCATGCTCAGCACCAGAACTGGAGGCCCTTCAGCCTTCCCACTAAAGCCTTGGACATCCAGTTGCTTTGGGGGAAGGGGTCCATCTTTACCAGGTGCAAGTTTCTAGTCTTGGTGGGGGGCTGTTAGCCCTGCTTGAACTCTCCCAGTGGCATTGATGACACCTTGTTTTTGTCCCTGAAGAAGTGATGGGTCCCTAAGGAGCTGGGATGGGATGAGAGGCCACTGTGGAAGGGCCTAGGTGAGACCTGTCAGCTAGGCTCCCCATCTTGCTGGACCTCTGATCTCACTTGACTGGGGGAAGGAGGCAGAAACTTCAACCTAGGACAGCAGAGCAGGCCCTGGCAGGGGTTCCTGAGAGCAGTGTCAGGTAGCTGGGAGAGACTGACTGTGACAGATAGCGACTCTTTACTGTTGGGCCCACTCAAGCAGTGCTCTCGCTTTCTGGGATCCTGGCATTAGCTAGAGGAAGACTCGATAACTCCTACTACACAGCCCGGCACATAGTAGGCCCTCAATAAATATTTGTTGAATGAATGAGATGCGACTCAAGCCAAGAACAGACTTTAGGTGTTTCTGACTCTTTCATGCCACCATCTCCACGGGGGACCCAGGACCAAGAGTTTCATGGGGTCTAGGGCACCCAACAGGGCAGGTGGTGGGACCTCACCACAGAACCTAGCATAAAGGTAATTGTGGCTCTTGTGAGGGACACAGAACTTCCTTTTAATAGAGAGCTCCTTGCCCTATTAGGGCTCGGGAATCCTGAGCTCCCCAAATTAGGAGCTGATCAGCAGCTGCTGGGGCCACACGACCGCTTCTTCACTGCCATCACAGACAGACATGGGCAGTGTCACAGATGGGCATCGGCGGCATCTGACTGCAGGTGAGTTAGCGACACCACGTTTCTGCCGAGATCCCAGGGCTCCAGGATCCTGGCCCCTGCCGACCTCTTGGGCTTTGTCTTCTGCCCCATGCTCCTCCTTTGCTATTCCTCAACAGGCCGTTTGATTCCTTTTCATTAAGCTTTTCCCGCAATATCCATCCCTCTGTCACAGAGACTTGGTCTTCACAATGCCAAGTGATAGAGATCTAGAATGGTCACTCTATCTTGGACTACATTTATGAAAGATTAAAAAGCAAAGCAAACCTCACCAAGTTGGCACTGCTGGGACACCTCAGAAGAGGATCTGTCCTGTTCTCCTAGGACAAGAGTGTCTATGGGAGATGGCCTTTAGGAGGTGCCCTTGTCCCAGCCTCCATCTTACATGAAGAAATAGGTGGGGACCAGGATGTGTATCTGGAATATCGTCCAAGCAGATTTCCTAGGTCCTGCCCTCGCCCTTGCAACTGTCCAGCTAACGGGGGGGGGGGGGGCACATAGAGGCACCTGGTAGGCCACCTCATAGAGGATGAGAAGCTGCAGGGTACAGAAGGGTACCTCAGCCTCCTGGGTCTCTGGCTCAAAGACAACCCTTAGGTATCCCAAGCGGACTCTGCATATGTGCCACTGGCAACAGTCCCAGAAACTGTCTAGCCTCAGGAGACAGGGCGTGTGTGTGCTGTTTGCTGGTTCAGTCCTGTGCTCTGCCTGCACTGTGAAAGATCCATAGGGCTCTGTAACCCCCATCCAGCTTATCTTTGTTGACATTACAGAAGAAACTAATGAATTTTTCTGGTAATTCTACACTCTGGGTCTTCTCTGTTTAAGGTCAGCAACTAATGTAAACAAACATGTCCATTAAAACCCAGCAAGTATTTGAGACACTGTCCACCATGAGAAGCAAAAAGGCCATGTCTGCCCTTTATCAGTGAGTACTGAATAAGGAAGAGAGCATATTTGGTAGAAAATGTTCATTTTGCAAAAATTTTGAATACTTCTCTATCCCCCCCCCCCCCCACAAAAGTTTCAGGCCTTGACCTGAACAAAGAAAATTTCAGTTCTGTGACCCATACTTTTCACCCTGAAAACTGTATTGTCCATTGTCTTTATTTAAGGGGACTGAGCTGGCTCAGTAGTGAGTACTTTCCTAGTCATCAAGGGCCTAGGTTCTATCCTGCCACCAAAAAAAAAAAAAAAAAGAAAGAAAAAGAAAAAAACAAGTTTACCAAAATCAATGGACTGTTTTTTTCCCTTAGAAGTTTTCAGAGGAGATTTAGGCGAATTTTCCTCTAAAGTTCAGGAAAGGAAATGTATCCCTCATGTAGAGGGCACCCACCAGCAGGGCTGAGCAGGCTGTGGGTGACCACTGAGCACAGCATGACACAGCCCAGAGGCAGGAGCTCTCCTCTTTCTGGAAAGTTTTCAGAGTTACCTTAACTATTCATCTGAAAGCAAGAGCCAGAGTTCTTGTCTGGGGTAAATGGTACAGCGAGTAGCGAGTCCCTAAACTTTTAGGCAGTACAAGAACAGGCTTTTTACTGTTGCACAAACACACACACACACATACACACACACATCAGTCCTGCCTCCTCACCCCTAGCCTCAAATAAAAAGGTGGTTTTGGTTTTGTTGCTTTTTAGTGTCATCATCCCCATGCTCTCCCTGAAGTCGAGGGTCAGCACAGCAGAGAAAGCCAGTGACTGGGTTCTTTCATTCCTGGGTGGCCTGGGTCAGGACAAGTCCCATGGACAAAGGCCTTGGGCACTTTTATAGGCCTCAATGACAAAACCTCAAGAATCAGACTTTTGAGAGCCAGACACGACTTTATAGGCGTTGCACCGAAGAATGGGGAGGGCAGAGGCAGGAGGATCTCTATGTTTTAGGCCAGCCTGGTCTACATAGTGAGTTCCAGGACAGCCAGGGCTATGTAAAGAGACCCTGTCTCATAAGACAGCTCCTGCCCTGGGGGGGGGGGGGGAAGATGGGGGAAAGACTCAGCCTTCTGGAAGTATCTTGGTCCACAGCTGCATTGATCTGAGGAGTGCCTGCCCTTGCCCCATCCAGCTGGGTCTACTGCTGCCTTTTTTTTCTTTTATTATTTTTTTTTTTTTTAGCCGCTGCCATTGGTCCTCCCCTGGGGGATAAAATCCAATGTCTCTGGAGCGAGGTGTCAGGGTCCTGCCTTTCTAGAACACCCATTCTACCTGGGGGCCTTTCCGTGGTTTCCGCTAACGTCCCCAAATACTTCCCCATGCCCTACCCCTCCACAGAAAGGCCCTCTCCAAACCCCCCATCTGAAGTAGGGTTGCCCGGCCCCATTCCTGTGCCTTTTGCATTTTTTTCCTTCGGGGCACTTGAGGTCCTGTGCTAGCTAGTCTCCCCTGGTCCTATCGGCCACTCTGTGTAACCGAGTCCTATGTAACTGGGTCTCATGCTCACAAATGTTCATTTGCTTAAGTGAGCTAGGAAGGGCCTGGGTCCTGATGCTGGGTGCCCTAAGTGCTGCCAGAGCTGTGGCAGGCAACCCACAAGGTCGCTGCCCAGCCCAGGCTAGCAGGGAGGAAGAAAGGGTTTGTTTCTGAGGTTGTCCTGGCCTGCAGAGGCCCAGATCTTAGGAAGAGGCAGCCGCTTTTCCCAGCTTTCAGGCCCCGCTGCAGGAGGCAGCAGCACCCAGTGCCCGACTGCCTTGCAGTTCAGCGGTTGGCCGTTGGGTAAACGTTGGGAGCGCCCCACCCCTTCTCCGCCCCGTCTCCATGGATACCCACACTCCCCCCCCCACCAGTCAAGGAGGCGGGCCCCCAGTGCGGACCCCGTTCACAAAGCCACTGTCTCCTCACCGACCTTCTCAAGGGAAGCGCGTGGGGATGTTGGAATGCTTGTTGCTGGACCAGCCATGCTCTAGTGTTCTTTGCCTCCTGTTCGTTTGATCTGGTGAGTGGTTTCCTAGCAGAAGCCAGAGAGGGCTCAGAGGTTTCCCCTTGGGCTATATTCCAGGTAAACCAAGTCTTGGGGACTTCCCTCCCACACATCAGGTTACTGTACCTCCTCTTTACTCTTTGTCTAGAAAAGTGAGGCTAACCCACCTGCAAGTAGACGGTCACCTGGCAGAGCTGGCTTCTCCAGTGACAACAGGATGGAGCCCATTGCTGTCTCCCAGGTCTGTGCAGTCAGCACCTCTGGCCCATTATCTCGGATTCAGACCACTGGTGGCTGTGGGGTTAGGGACACTGGGACCAGTGGTTCCCATACTTGCCTGGGACACAAAGGCAGCCACATCAAGCATACCTTAAGATCTTTTTGTCCATGTGCTCACAGCCCATCTGGAGTTTGTTTCTGATCAATTTTGTCCCAGAAAATCACACAAACCAAAACCGAAACAAAACAAAACCCTATAAAACATCAAGACAACAAAACAAAACAAAAACTCCACAAAAACAAACCCAAAAAAAATGCAAAGCAAAATACAAAGCACTCACTGGTCAAATCCCTCTCAGGACTGCTGAGCCTCCAGGGCCAGGGAGAAAGGCCAGTCAATGAAGCACCCTGTGAAGGCGGGGCTGGAGGGGACAGAGGCCCTACCACGGTGAAGCCCAGTGTGGACGCCAGGCTACATGACCTGCTTGAGTACGGGTGTGTGTGTTTAACCTTATTTTCCCGTCTTACTGGGGTAGTGATAGCAGGGAATGCCAGAAGAGGGCGCCAGATTGCCTGGAGCTGGAGTTGTGAACAGCCGGGTGGATGCTGGAAATGAAAGCCTGAGCCTCTGAAGGAGCAGGATCTTTTCTTTCCGCTGCTCTGTGGCCAGCCTATCACCCAGGAGTCTAAGGCCCTGTTTCAAAACAAAACCCTGAGAATAAAGCAAAACTGAAGACAGTTCTGTGGTGGCAAATGGGACCACAGGCTGTAGCCCCTACTCCTGGCAGAAGCATGCAGCTAAGGCAGGTTTGCTATTCCCGGGTCAGAGGGTGTCTAGACTGGATGGACAGGGGAACGGGGAGGACCCAGGGGCCTGTAAAATACCTAAGCCAGGGTCAGTGGAACAAACGGCTTCCAGCTTCTCCCATGCTGAGTGGATGAAGTTGTTACTTTTCTTTTCTCGGGTCTCATCGGTCTTTCCCAGTTCGATATTTTGTTTATGCCAGAAGGGACTCAGTAACTCTGTAGACAGCTGTTTCTCTGGTTATATTTCTTGGGGGTTTACCAGAATTTCAGAAGAACTGACTTGACTGAAAATCTTGGAGGACTGAGTTGGCTGTGACCCAACTGGTACTCCAAGGGTCCCTTCTGAGCTAGGGAACACACTGACCACAGCTAGCATAGTGAACGCCCACTCCAGCAGGAAGAGGAGAGTAGGGGCTCGGGCTCTGATGGGGTGGGGTGATTTGACCTTTTTAGGGCTGGAAGGAGACTGATTCCTTGAGAACCAGACTGGGTGCTTAGGCTGCCGTTCCTAAGCCAAGAGGCTGGGCAAACTGGACCTCAAGAAATGGACAGCAAGGAATGGAGAGTTTTCTCAAGGAAGAAGGGGCAGAGAGGGCAGAGCCCCACTCAGTACACCTGGGGAAGGATCTCAGGGAAGCTCAGTCCTCGCCAGATCGCTGGGTGCCTGGTGCCTGGCTGTGAGCACTCGGGTGAGCTGTGATCCTGGCTGTGAGCACCCCGGTGAGCTGTGGACCTGGCTGTGAGCACTCGTGAGCTGTGATCCTGGCTGTGAGCACACTGGTGAGCTGTGGGTCTGGCTGTGAGCTGTGATCCTGGCTGTGAGCACTCGTGAGCTGTGATCCTGGCTGTGAGTACTCTGGTGGGCTGTGAATAGGTGTGTGCAGGACCTGGGGTAGGCTGGCCATGGGACGACTGCTCAGCTGCTTCCTATGTAGATACTGACGGTGACCATGGCATGGCCAGGCCAGGAGAGGTAGTGCTAAAGTGGAGTAGATGCCACTTAACCATGGGAAGCCATGGTCAATGTCACAGGGATTCTGGAGGTAGTGGCCATGAGTGCTTGCATCTCTGTACCAATCAGATGTTTAGGCCACTGAGGAGTTCCCTCTCTGTGAGATGTGAGGTCATTGTCACAGGGGCCACTGGATTCACCCTCTGAGGTCACTGTGTGACAGGTGCTACTTGTTGGCACCTTGAATACTTGTCCTGATGGTTATGTAGTGAGATCCAAAGGGAAAGGTGGGTATAAACAGCCACTGTTTGTTGGAGAGGGCAGGGGCCACTTGTTTGTCCTGGCCGCCCAGAACCGAAATAATCACACAGAAACTATATTATTTAAAGACACTGCTTGGCCCATTAGCTCTAGCTTCTTATTAGCTAACTCTTACATCTTAATTTAACCCATTTCTATTAATCTGTGTATTGCCACATGTCTGTGGCTAAAGTTCCAGCATCCCATCTCTGGCGGCTATATGGCTTCTCTCTAACTCCGCCCTTCTTTCTCCCAGCATTCAGCTTAGTTCCCCCCCCCCACCTAGTTCTCCCTATCAACAGGCCAAGGCAGTTTCTTTATTCATTAACCAAGACAGAAGGACCTCCCACATCAACTGTTGAACACTGGGCAGATTAGGTAGCAAATGGCAAGCCCTGCATGTGTCTGAAACCTTGCTGGCCAAGTCTGAAAGGACCTGTGAGCTGCATGGAACCTATTTCAGTTGGATGACATTCGTCTCAAAGGCAGGTCACATGTACTCTAGCAGCTGTGATCTGAGGACTAGATGGGAATATGTTGTCGGAGGCAAACCTGTGGGCTGTCAGCTGTGGCTGGTAATGGGCTAGTGGGCGTGAAGGTTCAGAGGGAAGTGTGACTCAGGGCTGTTCATGTGAGCCATGGTCTCTGGTCAGCTGAGGCGAAGAATTGGCTGTGATTAATAACAGTGTCATGGTGGTTAATCTTCTGGGAAGTAGTTCTTCCAGGTCAGCACATGGGCTGTGGTAAGAGGGACCAAGGCTGTATCTCATGCTGGCAGCCAAACTTTAGTGGCAAGAGAGCTGCGGGAAATGCCAGTACTGGGATGACCCCACAGACAGCGGGAGGTGTGCAGTGAAGCTGGTAGAGCCTGAGGCTGACTGTGCTGCAGAAGGCAGAGCCGAAGTGCTGGTTGGGCCCTCTGGAGCCCAGATTATAAATGGATTTAAACACTGGACACTGAGCTCGGATTGCAATTGTGCCCTGGGTCTTCCCTACTGGAATTAGGAGGGTATGCATGTGTTCTATTTGTTTCTCTAGGATTTCTGCAGGTGACTCTTCACTGTCGATGAATGGGTCCTAGGATAAGCAGATCAGTCCTGGCTCCTGGGCTTCCCATAGTGTGCCAACAGGCTAAAGAGCTGGAGCCTGTCTACCTCCTTTCTGCATCTGACTGTGCTTCCAGCTCTGTGACTGATGATGAGATCACGTGAGGCTGGAGTGGAACAGCACCCATCACATAGGCAAATGGGCTCCAGTTCCTCTCGGGTTCTATGGTCTATTAAAGGAGGACACGGCAAATAGTAGGGGACTGAGCCATGGATAAAGTGTGCAAATCCTAGTTAAATCTGGTCCCTCCCTGGGACAGACTAGACCTCACTAGCTGCTCACAGATTGGACATGCTCATCCTGGTGGGCAAAGGAACCATGGAAGTGAGGAGGCAACTCTGGCCCAAGACTTCTCTTCCTCCTCCATCTCCTTGCGGATAGAACTATCTGGTTCCAAGAAAGGTCCATTCAGCTGTTCCTCAAACACCTAGCAGTTAGATCCTCAGGAACTCAAACAACCCTCTTTTGTTCCTTGTCAGGAGGCATGGCCCCAATCTCCCCGGAATGTTTCCCTTGCAGTATTCAGAGCCACATAACCACAGGCCCTCCTTAGCAGAGTCTAGGCAGCAGAGTACTACAGACTTCCAGTCACTTGGTCCCTCAAAGTCTAGCCAGAGCTTCAGGTTAGGCATTGATAAAGCAGAAACTTAATGTCAGTTTGGTCCTCTTGACCACGGATGCTCCTGAACTGGAAAAGTTTGAAGTCTTAGAATGTGTGCCCCAATCGGTAAGATGCATCTGCACAAAAGGAGGACAGGTACTTTGGATCTAGCCAGATACCCCTGGACCCAACAGTGTGTTGAGGGTCAGGCTTAGAGAAGAACAAATGCTTTTTGTGTATCCATTAAGTTGTTGCATGCTGTTTGAGCTCACGGAGAAGCTGAGCTGGCTCTGGAGGTGGGATTTGGACCCAACCATGTTTTGTTTAAAAATGTCTTCCAAGGCCCCTACGTTTTCCTAAGTCAGTGTGGCCGACTCTGTGACAGGAAGAAAGGACAGCAAAATGACCAGAGTAAAGGCCTGTGACCATTCTTCATCTCACACATGACAAAGCTGTCTCTACTACGTAATGTTCCTTCAGAACCAGAAGCAGTTAGGGCACATGGCTCTGTGCACTGTATGAAGAGCGCCCTGTGTGCTCTAGAAGGTTTACCTGGGAACTTACCAACCCATAGTTTAACAGCATGTACACAGGTAATGATCATTTATTATGTATGCGGTTTGTTTTTTTTTTTTTATTTTTTTTTTTTTATTTTTTTATTTATTTTATTATGTGTATAGCATTCCCCACATGCCAGAAGGGGGCACCAGGTATGTATGCGGTTTGTTCAACTTTCTTTTACTAAGGTGGTGTTGATGTTATGTTCTGCAGGGTAGCTAGATGTGTTTCCAAAGTGACAAGGGCCTGAGCGAGTTAGATATGGCATGTAGGTCAGAGTTCATTTCGCTGATGTTGAATCTCAACTCAAATTGATGGAATTACTACTGGCCTGGTCTCCATAATAATGACAAGAACTAGCTTAAGAAACAAAAATGTACATCTAATCAAAGTTTAAGTGTTTGGCTTTTGCCCAAGCTTTATCTAAATAGTGCACAGTCATTACAGTACCGGGCAGATACTTTCTGGGTGTTCAGTAACTGTATTAGGAGCTACACTAATATTCTCAGAGGGATGAAAAGGCAGAATCTTCCCACCTTGACCTGTAGGGACTGTACGGCAGGCATCCTTTAAATGTTAGTTGTAGGAGTCTCATTCCTTCAGAGCCACGGATACTCCATGTGGTGAGCTCTACCCAGTGTCCAGTCTACAAAGAGGAGGGTCAGAACAGAGGGAAAATGTGCTCCATGCTTTCAAGCAAGGCCTTTGACTTGTTCTCACATAGATGGAAAAACGGATCTAAGGAGCCTAGAGGAGCCTGAGGACCAGATCTTCAAATGGCCTTGACAAGGAAACAAACAAAAAATATAATTAATTATGGCCAAAACAATGGTCTTGAACACCCAGCAGGAAAGTATAGCCAAGAAGTAGGATGGTCAGCTTGTCTCCAACAGTTTAAGGCAGTGGTTCCCAACCTGTGGGTCGCACCCATTGGAAAACACTTATTTCTGATGGTCTTAGGAACTGAGACATCACTCAGTAGCAAAATAATTATGAAGTAGTGATGAAAATAAATTTATGGTTGAGGGTTCCTAAGGCCATTGGGAATGTGTTTTCTGGTAGTCGCTACCCACAGGCTGAGAACTGCGGGTCTAGCAACACACCCCTGCACCTTAGCCTTAGATCCGTGTGAGATGCTTACAGGTCTAACTGGAATTTTCTTTTTACTGAGAGAAATGCTGCCATTAATCGGGCACTCTGCCCTTGCCTGAAGTCCTCCTTCACTGCGGCACCCACCAGCCAAGAGGCCGGCCTAAAAAAGAAGGAAACTAGAAAAATCAAACGACAGCTAAATTTCTTCTCTTTCTGCCTCTCTAGAAGCTGCGTGGGGGGGACCTCGAAGTGAGTCTATCCGCTCAGACAGCCCTGAAAGCCTGGAAGCAGATCCTGGGCTTAGCACTCGGGCCAGCTGTCGATGTGGGACTTTCCTGGGAACGGCTGCCCTACAAGTGCAGGTCTGGCAGGAATGCCAGCCCCTCCAGTGACCCCAGTCTACACAGTGCTGCAACAGGGTCCTCTCCAGAACCACCGCACTGAAGGTAGGGCCTGGTGTCAGAGGGAATTACAGTTGTAAGTTATTCTGCCCGGCTATCTTAATTTCTGAAATTTGTAATGTTTTTGAGTATTTCTCTGTGGTCCTGAATAGCTTCCCAGAGGCTGGGATAAAGTCATGTCACCACACTGAGCTTCAGCCACGTCTTGTTTCTAATGAGCAAATCTTTTACCTTCTTGTTGTTTTCAAATACTTTAGTTTTTGGTGCTGAGATGTGTAGCTCAGTTGGTAGTGTTCACCTCAGGTTTGATTCCTAGCATGGACCAACCACAGTGGCTCTCACCTGTAACCCGGCGGTAAGGAGGTGTAAGGAGGTGCGTATGCGCACAGGCAGGATGAGGAAGAAGTTAAGGCCATTCCATCCATAGTTACAGTGAAGCTGAGGTGAGCCCAGGACACGAGATCCTGTCTCAAAACTGAAAACCTTTGTTTTCTGGGGATTTTATAAATGTAGTATTTTCCTTGGTTTGCTTTTGGGATTGTTCCTTGCTGACTTAATCAGCTCTAACAGTACTCTACATGAGTGTACTGTCTGTGGAAGACATGCTGACGTCTTCCTTTGCAATCTGGATGCCTTTTCTCTGCTTTGTTGATGGTGCCAAAGTATGTGGCCATCTTGTCCACGACCTGAGCTAGAGCACCCGGCCTCTCAGGATTTAAAGCCAGCTCTGCCTATGTGGCCTCGTGATGCCACACACATTTCCACTTTTCTATCATGGGGCTGTGCTATGTTGTTTTGGGGATAAAGTGGGCTGATCTAAACCCTAGGAAGCACACAAACTCCAGGTGGTGTTGTGGAGCTTGGGCAGTGTAAAGCATGTGCTTGCCCTGTAGTGTAAACTAAGGCAGTTGTGCCGGAGTGAGGTGCACAGGGGACCCCCTCTATAGGAAGGGTCAGGAACAGACTCCCCAGCAACCCTCCAGCCTCAGCATGTTCTGCCTGGCAGAGGCCACACCACTCATAGCTGCTCGTGATGTGAGGGTTTCTGTGGACTGCGGGTGCAATCCAAGGTCTCACCAGGCAAGTGTGAGCCTCCAAGTCACACCCTTACCCCCAGCAGTATTCCAGGTCCAGGTTTTTAAAGTGAAGGTAGAAAAGCTGGATGTATGTAGGGGAAATTGTATTTGACTTTTTTTTTGAGACAGATATCTCTATATAGCCCTGGAACTCACTACACAGACCAGGCTGGCCTAGAACTGAGTTCACTACCTACCTCTGCCTCCAGAGACGAAAAGCATGTACCACCTCCCCCAGCCTTATATTTGAATTTTTTGAGACAGGTTTCACTATGTAGCCTAGGTTGGCCCTGAACTCCCCTTCCTCCTGCCCTAGCCTCCCTTGTATGCTGTCAAGTCTGTCTTGGGGAAATGGTTTTATCAGTTCAACTCTGGCAAGATTTGACAGACACAGGGCTGACACCAAATGCCTAAGCTCAAGCGATCCTCCTGCCTCAACCTTTTGTCTCATTTGCCTACAAGTATATCACAATGCCCAGAAAAATGTAATTTTTAACAATGAAGTCTGTGCCAAGGGGCACGAGAAAGAAGGAAAGTGAGAGGAGTTTGGAGATTCTGGGAGATGGTTAGTAAGACCTCAATGGACACATTAAGAACCACTGCAATGGCAGCCTCTCAGTCAGCACGTGCCCTGTGTATGATGAGGTACAGGTTCCTGCTGCCAGAAGGGAAGACCTGTGAAAAGTGACAACTGTCATTTGGCCCCAGAGTCATTCAGCCCACCTGTCTGACACTTCACTCACACACACACAGATTCCAGGTGTATAATGGCCCGAGGTCACCAGCAGTTTAGGGCCGCTGCTCTTAGGAAACATGTTTTCCATTCCATGCCCCACCTTTCCCAATATTGTGGTTAAGAAAAAGATCCCCACTAGGGCGGCAGGTATTCTAGGATTAGGCATGAAGGCATCCCTGCCTCTAAGCTCCACAAGGGCCCACAAGGGTACAATGAACACAGAGAATGTCTCCACACAGCTGAAGTCTGCAAGGAAAAAAAAAAAAGACAGGGCAACTATTCTTTGTTCCTGTTAAATTTTATTGGCATCACGTTCGTCTCTTTACAGAAGAACTCAGCCTACACTCTAGAATGTAGACTTTTGGAGGGGAAGTGCTCTGGGAAGCAAGCCATGATGCAGGGCAGGACCTCGGGAGGGAACAGAACTGCCAGGGCTCAACCCAAGAGACGGGTGGGTTAGTGCTGGGCCACACTTGGGTGCGGTGGGGGAAAAAGGAGGAGGGGTCTGCTAACCTACAGGTACCACCCTGAAAGGAGCGCCTTCTAGAACAAAGGTAGAGTCACTAGGACAGGTTTGGTGGGGTTCTCTTTTCCCCTTAGAGTAGGATAATGATCTAAAGGGCATAGTAAAGTGTTGAACGGAAGAAAAAAAAAACTAAGAAGGGGAAAATGAGAATTTAATTTCTAAAATAACAGCAATTTACCCATTGTACATACTACTGTATTATGCAAATCAACCTTTTGGAAAATTTAGACACAGAAGGGAACTGTCTAGTTCAGTTTTCCCTCTGGAGAGATCAAAAGCTTTTGGCTCTTAAGTCTTCGATAAAAGGCGTACATAATTCTTGTGTCTACTGTACAGAATACTGCCACTAGCTGGACTTCCAAATTTGAGTCTCTAACACTCTTGTAATCCAGACAGGGTTCAACCCTCCACCTTGCACGCCTGCGTTAGAGGACTTAAACACACAATCCAGGAATTCCTTACACTAATTTATACATTTTAATTGGTTGCATATATTAACATGTACTATAAGATTCTTTTCTAAGAAGCATTACATAATAAATGGATACTGTAAAAAGATCTGATTAGTTAAAAGTAACAAGCATTAACAGATACATACAAAACAGCCTGTTCAGAATGGAACGTGGGCACCAGCCTTCCCACAGGACCTTCAAGGAGGGGTAGGGGTAAAGACCACAAGACCGTTAAAAAAAAAAATCAGATAATTAGACACAGACGAACTGTGAACAGTTCTCTCACTCTCCAGTGGACAAAAAGAGTAAGCTTTCCATGCCCACTGCACCCCAGAGCACCCAGGGTCTCCGCCGTATGCCTGCCGTACACAAGGCTCATGGTGGACAACTGCCCCAAGAGCCCGTCAGGCACAGGCTAGAGTTTGCTTACTGTGTGTGTGTGTGTATGTGGTAGCTGTGTTTGGTGGAGTTTTCTTTTGGCAGCTGGATGTGAGAGATCACGTTCTGTTCTGTTTAGAGGAGGAGGGACGCATATTGAAGGCCTATGTGTGTTCTTGGTCTGTGAAGGACTCTGTGCTCTGTGCTCACTGCCCCTTCAACAGCTGCAGCTCTCTGCGGAGGCCTTGGCCCGGTCATTCTTATCCAGTTTGATGGGTTCAGGGAATTCATTGTATAACTCCACTTCTGTTTCCTGGTCGGGGAGAGAGAGAGGTTGATGACAATTCTCAGCTTGGTGCAGGGTGACAGACTCGGTAAGGAGTCCAGGAACCACATCTACACCAGGTAGTCAGAACACATGCTGCTGATGAGCATTATAGACCACACCCAGTAACTGTCAGATAGGGCCCTGCTCACTGCTCCACGGTCCCAGGATGCTCCCCACGTGATCACGTCCCATTGAATTTTCTGGACTGTTGTCCAGGAGCTAGTAGTTTCTTTTCTTCCACAGGTTGCAGCCTGGGGGGCAGAGCTGTGGGGAATGCCATCACCTGTGCTTCATGAGCAGCTAAGATGGGCTTCAGTCACTTCCTGGACTAATCCTTGTAAGGAGGAATGGAGCTGCCCCTCAGCACGGTACCCAAGAAGGAAAGTTTCCTAAACAGTATTATTCTTGTTTTATTCACAGCAGCTACAAAAACATGCAATAACTGGGAATACATACTGAATACAGCAGGAGCTTTTTATCTTAGTGCATCAGTTCCCAACACTCATCACCCGAAAAAGAAACCATGTGCTTTAGCAGCCATTCTCCCCACCACCACCACCACCAATCTTGTTTTCTCATCACCTTCCCCCTCCATGAATATGAGTGGAAGCCAGGGCTTCATAAATGCTAAGCAGGCACTCTGCCAATGAGCCCCATTTCATCCCAGACCTGTCTCATTTCTCTTGTTATACAAAGGGTCTTACTCTGTAGCTCAGCCTGGTCCTGGATTTGTGGGCAATCTTCCTGCTTCTACAAGGACGGCAAGTGTGCACACCATAACGCTACGGACTTCTGAGATACAGGGTCTTAATATGATACAGGTTTCATTCCAGCCTCTGCATTAGACCCTTGGCCTACTCCACTGCTCCTATGGCTGAATGACATCTGTAGTAGATGAACCACCTTTTGTTTAGACACTCATCAGTTGGTGAACAATAATGTACATACACTCCTGTCAGTACTAATATGTACTTTTAACACAAAAAGCAGATTATGAATGACAGTCTTGGACAGAATGGGTGTCAACCCAAAGTTTGGATGTTGAAGCTCTAACTCCCTAGTGTGCCTATGCCTAGAACAGTCAGATTAGATAGGGTTAGGGTTATCTCTGACATCTGATCTCACAGGACTTCCAATTTTCCTTTTCAGACAGGGTCTCATATGTATCCCAGGCTGACCTTGAACTTGCTAAGTAGTGGATTTCGAATTACTATTCTCCTGCTTCTACCTGGTGCTGGGACAAGGAATGTAATACCATGCCGGGTTACTGAAGATGGATCCCAGGGTCTCATGAATGCCAGGAGAGCACTCTACCAACTGAGCTCCAGCTCCAGAAATTACACTATGTATGTTGTCGCTGAGACACCCCAGGAGGCTTATCAAATTTGCTCTCTGTGTGAAAAGCAAGAAGACAGTCATCTGCATGACAGGAAAGTCCCCTATCCTAAAACCAGTGTGTCAGCCTTGGCCCCAGACTCTAATAAAATATATGTATAAGCTATCCAATCTATGGTATTTTGTTATGGCCCACCCAAGCAGATATACAATTCCAACAAAAGAGATATTTATGAAAGTGGCTTTGACCTGGCTGAGAGGGAGTTGGGAGGTAGCTACAGGTAGGCAGACCTATACACTCAAAATACTGAAATAAAGATGGTCCTCCAGGTAAATGGGTTAACCCGCAAATCAGATATTTACAATTCATAAAAGTAGCGATGAAATAATTTTATGGTCAGGGGGCTCACCACAACAAGAGGAACAATAGGTTTGAGAACCACTGAGGTAAAAGAACCCAGACATGGCCAAGACAGTCTAGGAATTCTGAAAGACGAACATGAATGCTTTAACAACTGGGCACACTTTAAGGGGACAACAGCTACCCCAACACCCACTCCCACTGGAAACGTGGGTTCTCTGAAGGGCAAAGGTTACAACCAGCCTGTATTTGAACAGAAAGATGACTTTTTCTTGTTAGACACAGGGTCTTCCAGGGTAGCCTTGAATTTGCTTTGTTGCTGAGGCTGGTCTTAAACTCTCCTGATCTTCCTTCCTGTCTCCACTTCCCAAGTGTTGGGATTATAACATGTTCTACCACACGTAGCCTAGGTGTCCTAGAATTTGCCATTCTCCTCTCTTCTTACCTCAACTCCCTAAGTGCTGAAACTACAAGCAGGTACCACCACACCCAGCTAAGGTGGCTTTTTTCCTATGGCCAAAGGTTATCAAAAACAAGAATTGGGGAGGGTGATAAAGGAAGCTGGAAGGTAGGTGAAGGCAATGTCTAGTTACCAGGAGTTCATACGCTCACTCTGGGCACATTTTCAAGAACTGCCTCTGAAAGAACCATACATTGGTATAAGGACCCTTGGTGAGTTAGGGAACTAAAAAGTCCCATCATATTAAAGGCATCTTGGTCTGGAGAATTCAAAAGGACATGTAGCTTCTCTTTCCAGGAAAAGAGAAGATGAAATATTAAAAAGCACAACAAGCCTCACGAGAATGTTGTGTGATATTTTGATAACACTGATATGCCTAAGACTGTCCAATAAACTTTGAATCAGGGAGCACAGCCAGTGACTAGAGTTTGAGCTCTCTTGGTTCTAGGATGAAGTTCTTGCAGTGTATCTAACCAAAAAGCATGATCAGCTAGTTGCAACAACCTCTCTGAGCCAGCAGGTTTTCACCCTCACCTTTGACTTCTGAGTCTTTTATCGATAAATAGAATGATAAAGAATTTAAAACTACTGGCAGGGCAATGACTGACGGGCCACAGGGTAGCAGATGATAATTAAAATGTCAATAGATTCATGTTTAGTTGCTAAGTGGACAGAAAAGCATCAGACTAGAGTGTCAAGCCTAGGAGGAGAGGCTCAAAGGGTCAGTGCTATAAAGTGGCAACTTACAGATCCAGCAGCTGGAGCTGTGGCACCACCCACAGCTTCCCAGCCCCATCCAAAACAGTCTACCAGAGTATAGGGGTCATCTCCGGAAAGAGAACAGCAGGGCTGGAGAGAACCTGACGGTGTCAGGCCACAGAACAGAGGTGAGAGACTTGGATTTTCACACGGATACATGTATGCTAAGAAAAATCCAGGTAGGAGGGTAGACTGGGGGAGGGGAGAGAGACATCAGAAGAAAGCATGTTTCTTGGGGGGGGGGGGGCTTCTTGGTGTTTGGATGAATGATTCTACCTGGGCAGGCCCACCACTGTCTTAAAGCACTTTGTGCAGCCTCTCTACACCAGAACTCCTGCCTCTGAAACAGTTCATTCCAAGTCTCTGCCACCCACAAAGCCAGTAGTCCTGTCCTGCTAAGAACCAGTGCATTAATACCCTGCCTCAGGTGTCCCTCAGCTGACCCACATTGTTTTCTGGATCGTGCATGATGAAGCCTTGTAGCCAGCTTTAATTTACCATGGCCTACCAAGCCCACACTCTTGAAAAAACTCTCCCCAACACTGTGACGAACCCCTGGGTCTTGCGTGTGCTAAACCAACACTAAACTGGCTACACCTCCAGTGCTCCTATGCATGACTATGTTTCCTTCGCTGGCCTTGAATTTGCCGTCCTGCCTCAGCTTCCCTGCAATAGGTGGAATTACAGGCCTATGTCACAGGCCTGGCCTCTATACTGCCATGGCGCATACTATTCTCTCCAAGAAGAGGGTAGCTAGGAGCTCTGGATTTTGTGATTCAGTTTTCTTGTATTTCTTACTTGTATATGTCCATAACTACTCTCAGGAAACAGCCATTTCATGGTCTGAGAGTTGAGGCAGGTAACCACAACCACCCTTCAAGGCTGGCATTGTTCTGCACGGAAGGGGCAGAAGCTCAGACATAATTAATTAGGTGCAGCTGAGATCTGATTCAATTTTAACTCATTAACTAGAAGTATTGATCTGGCATGAGGTCCCATGTGGCTTCATCTCCTAAACTGCTCAGGAAAAAACAAGCCCATACCTCCACCAGGATGTTTGTTTTGTTCCCCCAAGGTTTCGCTGTGTCTGGAACTCATTATTCAAGGACCAAGCTGTCCTTGAGTGCTCTGCATCTTAGGGAAGTGTTCTATCACTAAGCCACACCCTAGCTCTGCCCCGAGTCTTTTAGATGACTAATAAAGCCGTGGCTCTCTTAAGGACTGGGGCAGAGTATGTCATGACCTTTCCCACCCAGAGAAGCACCCTAGGTTTTCCCAGCTGCAGCTGGGAAGAAAGGCATCCAGGAAAAAATATCAGACATGACCAGAGGGCACCTCGCATCTGGGGAGTCCTAGAGACCCACCTGTTTAAGGGCATTCCGAGCAATTGTCTGGAAGGCCTGCTCCACATTGATAGCCTCCTTGGCACTGGTCTCGAAGTAGGGAATGTTGTTTTTGCTGTAGCACCAAGCCTGTGCCCTCTTCGTGGCCACCTAGAGGAGGGAGGAGGACACTACTGACATGAACAGTGGACAATGACTCGGTCCTCCCTAGAACAGATCTGGGAATGAGGATGAGTGTGGCCTATAGACCTGCAGGTCAGGTCACTCTGCTGCCCATGTGAGGTATCCAAACTTGAGCTATTTCTGGCCGTAGCCAGACCTTGTGGGCCTTAGCAGTGTGCCACCGGCCAATCCCAGGAGGTAGAAAGCGATTTCTCCTGGGGTCCACGGTTGATATCTGGTATAAACCCCTTTACCCACACCTGCAAGTGGCAAGTGGCACAGATTTTGCAGTGCTCACCCCTTAGATCTTTCCCCTGTCCAAGCCAAGAAACAGAGACAAACTCTAGAAAGGGAGAGAGATGGTTAGAAATAAGCTGAGCTAAAATCAACAAAACTATGTTCTGACAGAAATGCTGTGTAGAACTCCGATGAGCAGCACGGCTCATAGCGCTCTTCCACCCTGAAGCGAGAAAACCCATTCCCATTCCTTCCTCTAATAGTCGGCCTCACATCAAAGCTGGCTGGGGTCAGCTGGGCACTGGGTGACAAGCACTCCCACCAGTACCTTCCTAGATTATTCTCAGCCTGGAAGCGAACCCTCCAAACTCCAAGGTCCCAGAGGAGGGGCCTGCCAGGTGTCCGAGGTAGCACTTACTTGTCTGTTTTCAAGGTCAATCTTGTTTCCCAACACAACAAAGGGGAAGTTCTCTGGATCCCGGGGGCTGGCCTGAATAAGGAACTCGTCTCTCCAGCTGTCAAGGGTTTTGAATGTGTTGGGGGCAGTCACATCAAACACCAGAACACAGCAATCTGCACCTCTGTAGAAGGCCACACCAAGAGACTGGAACCGTTCTTGACCAGCTGTGTCCCAGATCTGCAAGAAACAAAAGACCCGGTCTCCAGAAGATGCTGGGCACTGTGTGTGTGTGTGTGGGGGGGGGGGGTGTAGGAGGGAGTGACATGAGTCTCCTCTATCTTCTCCTGGGTATGTATACAGGAAATGAAAATAAAGCTACAGCAGTTAAGAGCACTACTGCTCCTCCAGAGGACCTAGATTCAATTCCTAGCACCCACATGACAGTTCACAACTGTCTGTTAGTCCACTTCCACAGGATCAGACATACATGAAGGCAAAACATCAATGCATCTAAAATAAAATTTAAGGTTCCATCTCTCTTCGGAAAAGGTGGCTGCTGCCTCTAATCCTCTCCCCCCTCCTTCCCCTCCCCCCTCCTCTTCCCTTTCCCCTCCATAACCCACTGAATAAACTTTATACTCAACTCTCAATAAATAATAAATAAATTTAAAAAGAAAATGAAGATATAAAGCCAGGCGGTGGTTGCTCATGCCTTTAATCCTAGCACTGGGGAGGCAGTGGCAGGTGGATCTCTGTAAGTTCAAGGCCAGCCTGATCTACAAAGTGAGTTCCAGGACAGGCTACAAAGAAAATGAAGGTACAGCCTCAAGACTTATGTATTCTGGGAACTTTCTAAGGGCTTGATTATTGTGCTTTATTTGAGTACTCTAGCTACAGCAGGCCTTGAACTTGCAATCCTTCTGCCTCAGGTTCCTAGTTGTTGAGATTACAAGGTATTCATTACCACAAGCTTTTCTAGGGGTAGTAGAAATAAAAGATTACTGACTAAAATGAATATTTGTGTTGATGGGTTTTTAACAATGTCATTTCTTTAAATAAACAATTTAAAAAATCTTAAAACAAAAACAAAGTTAATTAAAAATTCTTTAAAAAAAGATCTGAAGAGATAAGAACAACAGAGTAGAAGCTAGGAGCAGGTCCCACTGGTTCGGCATATATATGGTCATACAGGTGCAAATGGTATAAGGAATTCAAAGACAGAGCAGTTTTTAAAAAAAAAAAATGAAGAAAAAAACTCATGCTGAAAACTGGGGCATTATTCCTGGGAAGTTTCTAAATTTACCTTAGCTTCAAACTTACAAAAGTATAATTCATATTTGTCAATTAACAAGAACAAAAAAAAAACTCCTATGTCAAATGGTCCTTTTAAATTTTCAAACTGAATTTCTTTCGGAAGGTAGTGGTGGGAACAGAATACAGGGCATCACACACTCTGAGCAAGCTCTACTGCTTACTGTATAGATTCCCAAATGAAATATTTTCTCTTTTATATCCAAAAGTATACCCATATATTTAACTATCCAAAGCTCTAATTTTGGGGGCGGGTACTACAGAAGGAACCTGGAGATGGAACTTATAGCTTCATGAATGCTAAGTATACATTCTACCACCTGGTAAGTATTAATATTGCCATTGTTCTTATTTTACATTAAAAAAACAAAGAACATTTATTTATTATGTATACGTATTCTGCAGGCATGTATGCCTGCACACCAGAAGAGGGCACCAGATCTCATTATGGACAGTTGTGAGCCACCATGTGGTTACTGGGAATTGAACTCAGGACCTCTTCTTACCACTGAGCCAGAGCCATTTCTCCAGCCCCTACATTTCTTTCTTTTTTGTTTTTAAAAGAGTACTTATAATAACCAGAGAGATGGCTCAGCAGTTAAGGCTGTGCTTCTGAGAACCCAGTTCCCAGCACCCACATGGCAACTCATAACTACCTGTAATTCCAATTCTAGGAAATCGGCTTTTGTGGGCTCCAGGCAGGAATGTGGTACAGACACGTGCAGACACACACACACACACACTGCCCCCAATGACACTTTTTCCCCAGAAGCAAATGGCTCTTGAAAAAAAATGTCTTACACTAACAGTACTCTGCTGTGAATCTCTTTCATTTGTCTTTCCTCATACCCCAAATCAACAGCTAACAGTATCCCACGACGTTATTATACTGCAGTTTATTCCCTGGCCATCCACCCTCACATGCAGGGTGGCAATGGATACTCTTAATGCTTCTCTTCTCCTGCCCATAGGTAAGTTTTAAGCCATTCATTAGACACAGAAACCATTAGGCTGGGAGGTATGCGGGTATCCACACTGTAAAAAAGTACAATGCCTGCCCACTTCCACCTTGACATCACTTCAATTCCCTGAAATCAGGCTTCCAGAACCTGCCATTTGCTGTAGTCTGCCCACGTAACCACAGGCATACATACACAGCATACTCTCCTGTTCAGTGATTACTTTGGTTATATGGGAATCACACTATTTAGGTATTTGATTTAATGTGGTCTCATACAACCGTGACCTTGTATAACTTGTTCTTGCTGCACTTTAAATGTCAAAGGCTATTTTCCTTCTAAACATTTTTACTTTATGCTTTTTCCACCTCACTTGGGCCCTGAAGCCTGTAGTTACTCTATTGAAGGTTCCACTCCAACCCAAGCAGAAGCTCTCTCTCTAAGGTTCCCAGCAAAGTTCTGTGCCTATCTATTGCCCCGTGAGCCTTCTGTGTATCTGTGCTAATACCACTGCCTCAGTGACTTCAATTTCAGCTTACTGAGTTTGAGTGTTTATGCACACCTGACACCTAGCTTCTTCCTTGATATCAGAAATGTAAATGGTAAATAAAACACAGCCACCACTATTCTTCCACTGAACATTACAATGCATAACTCCAATCCTGGTTTCCTTACAGTAGGACCCAATGTGGGCCACACCTGAAGATCCAATTAACACCAGGCCACAACTTTAGTAGGCATTTGTGGATTTCCCTCTGTATCATTATTCCTAGACACAGTCTAGTAACTGCTTACATGAGATTAGATCCTGTAAGTAAACCAAAGATTAAAATTATATACGTTCTATATAGATATGACAATCAATTATAACATTTATTTCTATTAAAATTTTTATTATTTTAGTCTATGAGTGTTTTGCCTGTGTGTTTATCTGTGTACCATGTGCATGCCTGGTGTCCAAGGAGGCTAGAAAAGAGTATCTGATTCCCTGGGACTAGAGTTACAAGCTGTTGTGAATACCACTATGCATGCTGGGATTCAAACCTGGGTCCTCTGGAAGAGAGCCAGTACTCTCCAGCCCACACTGACCTTGAATCCGCATGCCTGTAGCTGTATGCCAAGTGCTGGATAACAGGCTAGCACCACCACACTGTTTTCTATTGTTGCTGGGGACTGAATCCAGGAGCACATGCATGCTCTGCAAGAGCTTGACCACTCAACTATATAAACCCAAAGCCCTGGGCATAAAAGTTGCATCTGGGTGAGAAAGGTGTCTCAGACCAGTTCTGAGTAGATACCAAGGGAAGCTGCCTATGCTTTCTTTGCTCCACAGTGATAAAACCCAGGGCCTCATGGGTCACAGCAAGCATTCTATCATGAAATTACTCCTCTAGTTCTATGCTTTTGTTTTATTCTTATTTATGTGTCTCTGTGGTGGGGCAATCGTGGAGGCCAAAGCAGGAAGAACTCACGCTTTCAGTGTCAAGAGTTCTAGAACAGCCTGCTGAATATGCTGACTGTGCCCTTTGGACAGCACCCCCTGCTGCTGCTGCACTGCCATCATGGATTAGTTGGCAACCTCAAGGCTGCTCCTTCCCTGGCTTCTGTGGCTACACTTCCCTTGGCTCCTCCTTAATCTTTTGAAAGTGGGCATCATTTGGTGCTGAGAAATTCTTCAGTTCTGAGAAATTCTTGGCAAATTTCATCTTTAATCTCTTCTCTTATTCTTCCTGAAACTAATTAAAAGTGGGTCTGTACTAGAAATACATAAGCTCTCTGGGAGAATGCTTGCTGGGTATGTGTAAGGCCCTAAACAAAAACAAGCGGGTAGGTGTGCCCTTACAGAGCCTTCTCGTCCATTTCCTGCCAGTTTTCTTTGTTGTAGATCCTTTCTGCTGTATCCAATCTACTGTGAACTGACATTCCCAAAGTTTTAGAAGTTCTATTATTTTTTTCTCCTCAAATCTGTATTGCCATTTGTCTCTTCTGCAGATGCACAATTATTTTCCTCTTTTAAATGAAAATCAGTGACCAGGGCTGTAGTCAGAACTTTGTAGTTGAACACCTTCCTATCGGAAGCTTTAGGTTTGGTCCCTAACTATTGCTCAACCCTCAAAGTGGGGAGTTCTAACACATTAACCAGCTGTGGTAGTTCATGCCTACACTCTTAGCCCTTGGGAGAACAAAGGCAAAAGAATTCCAAGAGTTTAAGGGCAGCCTGGACTATCTGTAAATATGAATCAATTGTCCTGGATGATCCTGAACTAGCTGATATTGTAGGCCTGTGGAACCAGACCAGGCTCCTTTTTAAAATGTAAAATACACTCTCCAAGCCCAGGGAGGTCATCATTCGGGTTTTTTGTGATATCTTCATTCTTATTTATCTTTTACTACAAGCTGAGAAATATGTGGAGCTCTCTCCAGACTGCCCCATCACTCAGAAGCGGCCATCTCATCTCACCCTTTCCCGGACCCTTCTGCCCTGCGGGTCTCCAGCTGCACCTCTTTGATGGGATGTATTGCCACAGTGAGTGTGGCTGGGATCTAAATTCTCAACCCTGTGACCACAGGACCCAAGGGCAGCACTTGCATTTTAGCTAGTACCCATTCCCTCCCACCTCTGCTGCTGTGGGGAGCACCAGCCTAGCAACCCTTCCTCCATATCACCTGTTATTTCTGGGAGCTCCTAGGCAGCCATTTGGTTTCTGGCAGTCTCAGATTCCTTTTGTTTGTTTGTTTTTCAAAGGCAGACTCTTATTATGTAACTTTGGATGTTTTCAACTAAGTAGACCAGGTGGCCTCATAGAAATTCACAGTACTCAGAGATCTGCCTGTCTCTGCCTCTCAAATGCTGGGATCAAAGGCATGTACCTAGCCAGTCTCAGGTTCTTTTTGAAACCCTGCCCAAGCCTTGTAGCTTACTGTGCTTCTACAATTTAACAGTGTCTTTCATTTATTTTGATGTTGTTTTTTCAGTTTCTGAAGCTCTAACTTTTCCATATCCTCATTTTTTTCCATTCTGGTTTCTATTCCCATTTTTTAAAAAAATGACAGTCATTGTGAAGATTACTTGTGGCATATGATTTCCTCATATGGCCAGGAGAGTATGTTCTCACTCCACTTTTGTCTCACAAACTAATCTTGGTGTTTGTCAAGAATGATAGGCATTTCTGTTAAATTCTTCAAGACAGATTCCAGGTTCTTTGAAGAGTATAGATTCTACACGTACAAAGTCAAATTTGGGAAGGCAAACCCAGGGGAGGCTGAGACAGAGATCTGCAAGTTCAAGGTCAGTGTGCTGTCTCAAGACACTCCTTTAAAAAGGTCTGCAGACAAAGCCCAACAGCAGTGTTTGTCCAGCACTTAAGAAATCCTAGATTCAATTCCAAGTTCTCCATTCCCCAAATACACACCAAAAGCAACCACCACATGAGTGGACAGGTAAACACTGGAGCGATGTCTCAAGCTCAGGAGTCCCACAAGCATTGCCACACCCTGGGCCCATCTACCTGCCCTCCTTTCACAGTCTTTCTGGGCCCTGGACTTGTGCTGTTGAGTGTGCGTTTTGCAGCTTCAGCTCCCCACATGGGCAGTAACTTACATCTTCTATACTTTCACAGCCGAAACTTACAAAATCATCCTATCTGTTGTGGGATAATCCTTTTTCTATACTGCGAAGATGTGTCTCTGTTTAAACTCCCTACCTAAGGCATCTTCTGACTGGGTTAATAACGAGCCAAACACCAATAGTTAGCCAGGAGAAAATAGGCAGGACCAAGAGAGAGAAAGGTAGGAAGTCTGGGAGGAATCTGAGGTGAGGGGGATTCCCCAGAGAGACTCAGAGGAAGTCAGATATACAGTATGGAGTCACATGGCAGACCATAGATTAATATAAATGGGTTAATTTAAGTTTTTAGAGTTAGTTGGGAACAAGCATAAGCTAAGACCAAGTTCTCATAATCACCAAGTCTCCACGTCATTATTTGGGAGTTGGCAGTCCAAAGAAAGTTGAGCTACACCCACCCCATGGCAGAAGCCTGAGTCTGTGTATAACAGTTTCACTTTCTTCTTTGTTCCTATAATCTGGTCATTTCCTTTTCTCAAATTTGGTTTATTTAACTTTCACTCAGATATTTTAGAAACCTCCAGATGTATAAGTAAGTGTGGGTGGGCTGGGGAGGGCAGATTTACATTACCTCCATCCTGAAATGTGAGCCAATTAAGAGTTCTTACGCCAGGCGGTGGTGATGCGCGCCTTTAATCCCAGCACTCGGGAGGCAGAGGCAAGTGTATCTCTCCAGGACAGACTGATCTGCAAGAGCTAGTTCCACAACAGGCTCCAAAGCTATATATAGAGAAACCCTGTCTCGAAAAACTAAAAGAGTTCTTATTCTTACTTTGTGCTAAGTGTGTGGCAGCAGTCCATAATCCTAGCACTCAGGAGGCAGGGGCAGAAAGATCAGACATCCAAGGCCATCATCCTCTGCTATAGAGTTTGAGGCTAACCTGGACTTTGAGACCCTGTTGTTCCCCAAGCCCCATAAAAGGCTAAATGAAACATTATCTTTTTTAATATTTATTTATTTATTATGTATACAATATTCTGTCTGCGTGTATGCCTACAGGTCAGAAGAGGGCACCAGACCTCATTACAGATGGTTGTGAGCCACCATGTGGTTGCTGGGAATTGAACTCAGGACCTTTGGAAGAGCAGGCAATGCTCTTAACCACTGAGCTATCTCTCCAGCCCTGAAACATTATCTTTTAAAAAAAAAAAAAAAGGCTGGAGAGATGGTTCACCAGTTAAGAGCACTGGTTGCTCTTCCAGAGGACCTGGGTTCAATTCCCAGCACCCATGTGGCAGCTCACAACTGTCTGTAACTCCAATTACAGAGGATCCAACACCCTCAGACAGACATACATGCAGGTAAAAACATCAATGCACATAAAAAGTAAGAATTTTAAAGAAAGCAGAGGGTTATAAATACGAGGACCGGAATTCTGGTCCTCATCACTCATGACATAAAAGCCAGACTTACAAGGAGAGCCTCTATAATGCCAGTGCTATAATAGGGAGATGAAAGACAGAGGCAGGAATTCCTGTCAGCGCAGAGAAAGCTAGTCTGGCACATGTAGTGGGAAAACAAAAACAAAGACCCTGTCTCAAAACAGAGTGGAAGCTCGAAATGGCGGTTCACATCTTTAATCCTAGTACTCAGGAGGCTGAGGATTTCTGAGTTAAAGGCCAGCCTGGTAAACACAGCAAGTTCCAGGTCAGCGAGACCGACAAAGTGAGATCCTATTTGTCTAAGGAGAAAATAAATAAAACGGTAGGAGGATAAAAGGCAAGGATCAACCCCCTGAGGTTGTTTTCTAACCCACATACTCATGCCTTGGTATACATGTACCTGCATTCACACACACCAAAAAATAAGGGGCAACAGCCCTCAGCTTTAATGGAAAACTAAGAAGCTAATGTGAAACTCAAAGATTAATCTTCTCGGGCTGGAGAGATGGCTCAGTGGTTAAGAGTATTCCAAAGGTCCTGAGTTCAATTCCCAGCAACCACATGGTGGCTCACAACCATCTGTAATAAGGTCTGGTGCCCTCTTCTGGCCTGTAGGCATACACACAGATAGAATATTGTATACATAACAAATAAATAAATATCTTTTAAAAATTAATCTTCTCTTGTCTCTTTAGTTTGATGTTGCTGTACCAACTACCTGAGTGGGCATCATGGACCAGAAGAGAAGACAAAAATATTGAGATTCTTTTTCTAGACGTGTTTGTGCACAAGAACATGTATACACTACACAAAACGCTCAACAACAAAAAAAGTATGGCCATAAGATGAAGATTTTCAAAAAGTCTGTTTCACTGGAACCACTAATGTATTTAGAGCATGAAGCTGAGCAGACACATGGAAAAACTAAACTGGCTTAACAGAACTCAACCTTATGAAAAAGCACTTATTAATGTGTGTGTGTTTGCCACACTTGTGCACTGAATTGCATGCTTGGTGCCTGGAGAGCAGAAGAGGGTATCAGATTCCTTAGAACTGGAGTTAGAAACAGTGGTGCTGGCAACTGAACCTGAGTCCTCTGCAAAGAGCAGCCAGTGCTCTTAATCACATAGCCGTCTTTTACAGTCCCAAAGGCCACAAATAGAATAGCAAATAAATAAATACCACCTTAATGTCTGTTATAAGAAGTTAGGAAACACACAAAGATTTCTGACCTGAAATACTGGACAAAGATTCCAAGAGATAAGCCGAATGGAGAATGGTGGCTCAAGTCTTTAATTCCAGCAGAGGCAAGTGCATCATTTTGAGTTCAAGGCCAGCCTAGTCTAGCACTTTAAGTTCCAGGATAATCATGGCTACACAGAAAGATCCTACAGCCCCCAATCTTAAAAAAAAAAAAAAGAAAACAAAACAAAAAACCAGAAAGATGATATTTTGGAACATAGTAAGGACCTATAGGTTGTTAAATTTAGGAAAACAATAACAACAAAAACCACACAACAAACCTAGCTAAATTAAATTTTACAAAAATTCTTAGTTGTCTTGCAATCTAAAATTCAAATTTAGGGGCTAGGGTCTAGCTTAGTGGGGGGAACATGTGCACTCAGCATGCACAAGGCCCTGATCCAGTCCTACCATGCCTCCAATCAAATTTAAACTGGTTGTTTTATATAACAATTCTATGAATATAATGGTAGGTTTAAGAAACAGAGAAGAAAACAGGTTGCTGTAGAATAAACTTTCTGTACACTGTGTAAATTACACTGTGATTGGTTTAATAAAGAAGCTGACTGGCCAACAGCTGGACAGGATAAGATTAAGTGGGAAAACCAGACTAAGGACACTGGGAAGAAGGAGGGAGGAGTCAGGAGTCCAGTGAGACAGAGAAGAAACAAGAGGTGTGAGGTAAAAGAGGTAATGTCATGTGGTAGAATGTAGGTTAATATATATGGGTTAATTTAAGTTTTAAGAACTAGTTAGTAATAAGCCCGAGCATTCATAATTTTCATTAAATTTTGAGTCTCCATGTCAGTTATTTGGGAACTGACAGGTAGACAAGAAAAGTCCACCTACAAGAGGTAGATGTGAAAAACAATTTAGATTCAATAAGCTGGGCCTGCAAGAGGGCTCAGCTGATAAAGTGTTTTCAGTCAATCCCTAGAACACATATACAGGTAGAAAGAGAACCAGCTCCCCCAAATTGTCCTGTGACACCCACATATAAGGAATACATTTCTTAAAAGATTCAGTAAGCTAACAGGCTAGCAGCTCTGGAGTGGCTTACCTGCATGGTGACAAGTCTGTCATCCACCATCACCTCCTTGGTCAGAAAGTCTGCTCCTATTGTGGCTTTGTACTGGTTACTGAACTTCTTATTTACATACTGGTTCATGAGCGATGTCTTTCCAACACTGAAATTGGAGAAAACCACAAGTTTCAGACAAATAAGGGACTGAAACTAACATGCTCACAATTTAAAAAACCACCTGTTGGGCTGGAGAGATGGCTCAGAGATTGAGAACTGATTGCTGTTCTGGAGGTCCTGAGTTCAATTCCCAGCAACCACATGAAGGCTCACACTCATCTATAATGCGATCTGGTACCCAGAACACTATATACATAATAAATAAATTAAAAAAAAAACAAGCAACCTGTTGGGCTAGAGAGATAGTTCAGCTGGTAAGTGCTTGCATGACACACACAGGCCCTGGTTTTAACCTCCACAGTACTACAGCAATTTAAAAAACAAAACATCTTGAAAAATGAAAACAATAACAACAACAAAACATTTTATCAAAGTAACCCACCTGTCATCATTGAGAACAGGTATCTCCCTCTCAACCAAGGGTAGGACAACAATCACCCTACCATCACATACTAGAAGGTTTGTAGATAATGCTGGGGGAGGGGCTGGTTTTCTTACGGAAAGGAAGGAAATTTGGAATAGAGGGGCACACCTGTTTTTTATATGTTCATATTGCCTTCTTTTTTCAGAGACAGAGTCTGTGCTGCTCAGGCTTGCTTCAGGCTTAAGTGACCTTCCCATGTCAGCCTTCCAGGTAGCTGGGATGACAGGCATGTGCACTGCGCCAACTTACTATTTATACACAAACCCTCAGTGAAGCAAGGCTGTCATGAGTCACATAAGAAACCAAGTCTGAAAAAAGCCAACTGGGAGGCAGAGGCAGGTGGCTCTTCTGTGAGTCTGGGGTCAGCCTGGTCTATACAATGAGTTCCAGAATAGTCAGAGCTACAGGATGAGAATCTGTTTCAACACCCCCCGAAAAGAAGAAAAGAAAAGCCTACTAGATGATTGTGGAACTCTTTTGTATTCCAACAAGTAATCTTATTGGCCATTGAAGAGTTCATTAGTTGGTGAGTGGACAATCTAGAAACAAAATCCAGTCTTCTTCTGGTCCTGGCTCTTCCACATACAAGCCTGGGTCAGGCACAGAAGGGAAAGGCAATGTACATGCAAGCAGACCCACATCTGCATAGGCAAGGTACTGACAGTACCTTGATCATGAGACTAGCTAGCACTTTCTAGTTTGGCCACATGGTATAGCAGAGGATCCATAAAAATGACAATCATTTACTGGATTCAGACCTACCCCCTCCTCACTACCCCCCAAAAAAAATCCCAAATCCAAACATGTTAAAAGAGACAGTGATGCAGCTGTGGTAGAGTGCATGCCTAACATGTTCAACACCCTGGAATATTCCAAGGAAAACACATCCATACAGGGGCACGCACACAAACCCATGCAAAAAAACCAAGGAACAAAAATATACACCAAAGGAACATTCAAATTTCTACTATATCCCAAAAGTAAGGCTAGAAGACAGGCCCAGAGCAGAATGTGGAGCTGTGAGAGATGGGATCAGTGAAGATGAGGCTTCAAATCCGTCTGTGAGCTCAAATTCATGAGAAATACTTACCCAGAATCTCCCAGGATGATGACCTTCAGCAACACTTTCTTCCTAGAGGTCATCCTTTAAGCTGTAGGAAGAAGAAAAGCAGAGGTGAGCTGAGGAAAAAGACCTTGTCTCCTGTGCTGCCACTCTACCCAATCAGGAACAGAGCCCCAGGCTTCACTCAGATTACCCTGGGGTTCTGATGAAGAGAACAGCATCCTTAGCAGAAATGTGAACCCTTGAGCTAGTCTAGACAACAAGGGAGGAGCTGCAAGGATGAAGATGTTGCCTTCTTTCTCAAATGCTGGATCCATTCCTGGTGTCATCAGTTGGGATTAATGGTCCAAACAGAGTCATCACGAGTCCACAGTAAAGATAGGCCTCATTACTTAAGCACTACTTTCTCAGCAAAGGAATCACTTTACTTATTTATTTTTCCTTTCTGGCTTTTCAAGACAGGGTTTCTCTGGCTTTCTTGGAACTCGCTCCGTAGATCAGGCTGGCCTCCAACTCAGAGATCTGTCTGCCTCTGCCTCCTAGGTGCTGGAATTAAAAGCCTGCACCACCACAGCTGGCTAGGAACCACTTTATTTAAGCATCATGGGTGCTAGTTTTATGTCAACCTGACACAAGCTGGAGTCAGAAAGGAGGGAATCTCAATTGAGAAAATGCCTCCATAGGATCAGGCAGGTCTGCAGGTCATTTTCTTCATTAGTGATTGATGTGGGAGATCCCGCCCATTGTGTGTGGCACCAACCCTGGGGCTGGTGATCCTGAGCTCTATAAGAAAGCAAACTGAGTAGGCTGCGAGGAGCAATCCAGTAAATAGCAATCTTCTATGGCTTTTGTGTCTGCTCCTGCCTCCAAGTTCTATCTGGTTTCCATTCCTACATTGGCGTCCCTCGATGAATTGTGACTTGGGATATGTAGGCCAAATAAACCCTTTCTTCCCCAAGGTGCTTTCAGTCATGCCATTTCATCACAGGAATTGTAACCAAAGACACACCACCATTGTAGATAGAATGCTTGACTGTAAAGATGTGCTGCTGTTTTACTGTGTCTGAGCTAATAAAAAGCTGAATGGCCACTAGCTAGGCAGAGGACGGAAAGGTGGGACTCGCGGGGGGGGGGGCCGAGGGGGTGTCCAGCCAGAATCAGAGGAAGTAGAAAAGCAAGATGGACAGTATGCAGATGAGGTAAATATCGATTAATAGAAACCGGTTACTTTAAATTAAAAAAAAAAAAAGATAGCTAGAACTAAGTCTAGTCTCTATGTCATGATGGGGGGGGGGGGTCCAAGAAACTCTGTACCACTAGGCTTCCTCCTTGCTCCTTATTTCATCAGCCACTTCCCCCACCACATAACAACATATGGGATAGTACCACCCACATTCAAAGAATGTCTCCTGACTTAATTGTCTCTGGGGTCAGTGCCTCCCAGCCTAATAACCAGAGTTCAATCCCCAGTATGACAGATTGGAAAGAGAGAACCAACTCCTGAAAGTTGTCCTATGACCTCTACATGGATGCTGAGACATGCACACACATATACACACAATAAAATCAATGCAATAATGCCACCACAGACACCCCCAAAACGAGCTTTATACATCTCCTAAGTGTCTCTCAATCAAATGAAACTGGCAATCAAGATCAGGTGGTGGTGGCACACACCTTTACTTCCAGCACTAGGAAAGAAGAGGCAGGCGCAACCCCATGAGGTGGAGACCACCCTGGTCTACAGAGTGAGTTCTTGGGAAGCCAAGGCTACACACAAATGCTGTCTCAAAAAAACAAGCAAATAGATCAACCACAGAGAAGGTCTGGCTACTCTCACTAGTTGCACTGGTCAGAAAAACAGCAGCCAGTGCTGAGTACAGGCTGTGTAAGAGAGCTGAATCCTCAGAGACTTTCCTTTAGCTTCCTGCCACACCTACATTTTTCTCATACCCTAAACCATGCATTATATATGGAGCCTAACTTCCCCCCACCTCCCAAGGGCTGTCTTGACTAAGCAAGGGTTCAGTCTCACCTAAGGTCTAGAATCACTTTTTGAGATGGAGATTACATTTATGCCATTGGACAGGTTACAAATCCAAGGGACAGAGTTAAGAGATAAAAGGAAAGGTTTTGCAAAGATTTCCTTTCCTTTCTTTTTTCAGGGCGGGGGCGGTTTAGAAAGGGTCTTACCATGTATGTAGCTCTGGCTGTCCTGGAACTCACTATGTAGACCAAGCTGACCTCGAACTCATGAGAGACCCATGACCCGCCTCTGCCACCTGATTGTTGAAATTAAAGGCATGTGCGACATGTCCTGGTCATAGCTTGATTTCTTAGTAGCATCTCTGAGTATCGGAAAGGAAGAATACACTCAGGTTCTGCTCATGCATACTGAGCCATCTGTTTCCTTCCCACTGTGTCTGCCCACAGGCAGTGCCACAGAGCACCTAACATGCTTACTCTGCAACAGTAAAGTGAGTCACTTTCTTCATCTGGGAACCACACAGGGCTGCTGCCCCAAGGCCATCAAGTTACCACCACAACAAGCAGCATACAATTGACTTATTTTGATTCTCCTATGCTGTTAATACATGAAAAATGTGGAAGGATGAATGTTGTAAGGAATGTCTCTGGGGCTAAGGATGTTGTTTTGTGGTAAAAAGGACCTGTTTAGTCCATACACCAAAAAGAGAGGGAGAAGGGAAATGAAGGAGAGGAGAGAAAATATTTCTGAATTCTTTCTGTCTGTGGGATAAATTTCTTTGGGAGGTCGTAAGAGCTAGAGGAGAATTCAGGGATGGAGATCTTCCACTCAGACTCACACAGCTTCTACACGTGGTCAGTAGGCAGCAGTGGGCATCAACAATGGGAGTTCTTGCGAGAGTCCATTCAGCATACGGTTTAGGATCAAAAGACATCAGTGTCACCTTTGGCAGAGCACACTTATTCTTTAAAGGAAAACGTTCCCTTCCAGCTGCTCAGGCTCCCCATGAAGGACACATACAGCACAAGATGCTGTGCCCAGAGGGCCCATAGCGAGCTTCAACATCCCACATAACTTACTAACCAAGGTATATTTTGCTTTTACCAAAGCTCAGGGGGCACAGGTGAAACCAGCCTTTACTGGCTCCCAGCAAAGCATTGAGTATATACTATCTAAAAAGATGTCTAAGTGAAAACTTACAATTTTGATAAAAAAAAAAATTAGGCAGTCTCTAGGATCAGTTTGTGAACAAACAGGGTAAAGAGAAAATAAAATATAAATATGAATTTGGACCGGGCGGTGGTGGCGCACGCTTTTAATCCCAGCACTCAGGAGGCAGAGGCAGGCTGATCTCTGGGAGTTCGAGGCCAACCTGGTCTACAAGAGCTAGTTCTGGGACAGGCACCAAAGCTACAGAGAAACCTTGTCTTGAAAAACCAAAAAAAAAAAAAAAAAAAAAAAAAAAAAAAAAAAAAGAATTTGGGCTTTTAATTCTGAGAAGCTTAAGATGAAAGACTTTAACGGCAGCATCAGCTAATGGCATCCATGGTAAAGCACTGATAAAGTTGTGCAGTAGCAGAAGCAACTGGGCCCAGGTTCCCCGGACAGAACACCATTAAGAAGCTAAGTAGAGCAGGGCATAGTGGCACATGCCTTTAATCCCAGCACTGGGGAGGCAAAGGTGGGCACATCTCTGTGAGTTTGAGATCAGCCTGGTCTACATAATGAGTTCATGGACAGCCAGGGCTACATAGTGTGACCCTGTCTCAATCCTCAAAAAACAAACAAACAAGTAGATAAAGGGTAACCTAAACAGTACATCCTCATCTGGTGTGCAGGCATACTTGCAGACAGAACACTCATATATAAAATACATACATAATTTTTAAAATAAAAAAAGAATTTGTGTTTATTCCCTGGTGTGGGAAGTATGATGGTTAGAACAACTTGGGGACTGAGTTATCTGGTCCTTTGAGGGTAGGGAGAAGAATGGCCACTTTGAATAATAGTTAAGAAAATCCAGGTAAGGCCACTTCCTCGTGCTTGCTGGATGGGGGAAGAGGAGGCAAAGAAGAGAATGTGGTGTGATACACAGAAGTAAGGAGACCAAGAAGCTGTTCAGTTTGCAAAAGACATGCCCACTCTACTGCAGTCTTCACCAAATGTGGAGTTCTGTCTGAGAGAGCTGCAGATCTACATTTGTGGATCTGCCATGAAGTAGGGAAAGAAGTCTACCCACAAGTTGAAGGACACACACTTTAATTTTGCAATTGTTTTTACAAACTTTTTTTTTCCCAGGCAGGATTTCTCTGTATAGCAGCCATAGCTGTCCTGGAATTCCCTATATAGACCAGGCTAAACTCACTGGATCCGCCTGTTAAGTAGATCATGTATGAAGAAAGGGTCCCGAATAGGTGATTATTTGGACTTACGATCACCCTTCCAGATCAAACATCACCTCTTTAGGGCAGATGAGACCACATTAACTTTTGTTTACTTTCCTGAATGTACTTTTCAAAAAGTTCTATAAAATAAACCTGCACACAGGAAAACTGTACACAGAGGAGGAGGAAAGGGGTCAGGATGGCAGAATAGGCTGGCAAGCCAGCTCAGTGGGTAAAAGCTCTTGCTGTCAAGTGTGACCACCTGAACTCAATGCTCGAGACCCACAAGGTGAAGTGAACTGACCCTGCCCCCCAAGCTGTCCAATGACCTCCACAAGTACCTCTAGTCACATGAATGCCTCCTAGCCCCAAACATACACTCCAGACAATAAATAGAAATGAAATAAAGAGAGCCCAGAAATACAGTAACATTACCTTAAACAACAGGAAGCTAAGGGGCTGAAACTGACCAGAACTACAAATAGCAAAAATGTCTCACTGGTTAAAACTAACAGAATAAAAAACCATCTGGAAGTGCTGGAAAATTCCCAGGTTAGACAGAACAAACGGCTGGTGTCTGCTAGCACAGTGGAGGGAGAAGGAAAGAAGTAATGGCTCAGCTATACTTTCTGGAGCACCCAGAAAAGTTGAGAGAGATTGATAGCTGGTTCTCAGAGTGCAAGAATAAAATCTCACCAGTCAGACGAGAAAGAAGGG